ATATATATATTAATAAGCAACAAAACTTTCTACATAAACGACACTTTTATTTATCTTAAACTGAAATCCAAAACGCAACCCATTAACACAGTACATCTTCTCAAATATCCACGATGGAATCCATGGCTTTTCTCTCAAACCCAGTTTTTTTCGCAGCGTTGACTTTAATTCTATCCCTTTTGACCGTCCAAATCTTGGCCAAAATACTGAACAAAAGCAAGCCACAACGGAAGTACCCACCCATTGGCGGTACTATGTTTCATCAGCTCCTCAACTTCAAGAGATTGCACCATTATATGACTGAACTTGCTGAGAAGCACAAGACTTACAGGATTATCAGCCCCTTTAGGAATGAGATCTACACTTCTGATCCTGTCAACGTTGAGTACATACTCAAAACCAACTTTGAGAATTATGGCAAGGTAAGATTTTCATTTTTAAAAAAAACAAAAAACAAAAAGTTTTTCACATGGTCTGTGAAGATTTTAATCAGTAAAAAGCGTTACCTATATTAGTTGAACTATTAAACCAGAATTGATAGTGGGCTGCGTTTATTTTTTCTTTTTGGAAATTATTTAAAATCTAAAAAAAACATTTTTTTTTTGGCTAAAAATTGATGTGTCGTTGAAATTTTGCTTTCTGTTCGTAATGAAATTATGGCAGACTAATGGCAGCAAAGATCAGATTTATCTGTAGAGTCTAGATATATATGAGTACGATTGAAGTTTCAAGTTTCGAACTGTGTGTTTTAATTTGTCTTCTCTTTCTTTTCTTTTTTCCCCTTCTTTTGAGGGGTTTTTCTGCAACTTTGTGTAGGGTTCATACAACTGCGACATTCTGAGGGATCTTCTAGGTGATGGGATTTTCGCGGTAGACGGCGAGAAGTGGCGCCAACAGAGGAAAATTTCCAGCCATGAATTCTCCACAAAGGTGTTGAGGGACTTCAGTACTGTGATCTTCAGAAAAAATGCAGCAAAAGTGGCTGACATATTGTCCGAAATCGCGAAAACCAACAAGACAATCGATATCCAAGTGAGTTTCACAGTTATTACCGTAAAGTTCCTAACAGTTCACGTAGAGACTAATTCCAATTTCTATAAGTCTTAACTATTGTGAAGTAATTCATGTAGGATCTGTTCATGAAAGCGACCCTGGACTCGATATTCCAAGTTGCATTTGGAGTTGAATTGGACAGCATGTGTGGATCAAGTGAAGAAGGGAAAAGTTTCAGCAACGCTTTCGACGATGCAAGCTCGTTGACTCTCTGGCGCTATGTTGACGCCTTTTGGAAACTCAAGAAGTTCCTTAACATCGGATCAGAAGCTACCTTGAAGAAGAAGACCGATATCATCAATGGATTCGTGTTCAAGTTGATTCGCAACAAAATCGAGCAAATGAAGAGCTCAAAAGAAGAGTACTCCGTGAGTCAAATTAGCTAAATATGTTTATGTTTTTTGTGAATCTTCCTCAGCCATGACAGAAAATCAGAAGTATGTTGTTTGTTATTGGAATGCAGATGAAGAGAGAAGATATTCTGTCAAGGTTCTTGCAGGTAACCGAGACCGATCCGACTTACTTGCGAGATATAATTCTCAATTTTATCATTGCTGGAAAGGACACAACAGCAACCACACTTGCCTGGTTTATTTACTTGCTTTGCAAGCATCCTCATGTACAAGATAAGATTGTGAAGGAGCTGAGAGAACTGACCAACGCAAAAGAGGTCACAAACTTTGTTGAGTTTGCCAACAGTTTGAGCGAAGAAGTACTCGAAAGCATGCAGTATCTTCATGCAGCAATCACTGAGACTCTTAGAATCTACCCTGCAGTTCCAGTGGTATCAAATCAAATTATTAATCTATTCAATCAGTTTTGGATAGTCCTTATGTAGAATAGGAGAATTTGGTAACCCACGAAAAGAATACTGTACTGGTATCGCATAATTCGGACTGTTAAATCTTTATCAAGTTCGTATATCATACGTATTTTTTCAAATCTGGCATGATACCCGTACAGAATCTCCACCATAAGAATTCGCTATAGAATACTATTGAATCTCAACTCTCTTTATTTTTGTTTGTTTACAGGATGCAAAGAATTGCTTCTCAGACGATATGTTGCCGGACGGATTCGCGGTGAAGAAAGGAGATATGATGGCATACCAGCCATATGCAATGGGCAGGATGAAGTTCATATGGGGTGATGATGCAGAGGAATTCAGACCAGAGAGATGGCTGAATGAGAAAGGAGTTTTTCAGCCAGAGAGTCCTTTCAAGTTCACAGCCTTTCAGGTTTGCATAATTTACTAGTATGTTTAAATTTGAGATTACCAATTATCTATCTTTTAGTGACAAAATCAAATTTATGTTGATTCACAGGCAGGGCCGCGGATTTGTCTAGGAAAGGAGTTTGCTTATAGGCAATTGAAGATCTTCGCTGCTGTTTTGCTAAGTTGCTTTGTGTTCAAAATGAGTGACGAGGAGAAAATTGTTCATTACAGGACAATGATCAATCTTCATATTGACGGAGGTCTTGAAGTTCGCATCTTCCGCAGGAATGGAAATTAGGAGTGAATTAGAGGAATGCCACTTTCAGGAGTTTTAATTCAAATATACCACTTTGTTAGGAAATCCAAGTCTTAAGTTTCACAGTAAAGTAGTACAGGTGAATAACTAATTTACCATGGATATTAGCTTGTAAAAATACTTATATGTTTTTAAAGAGTAATGTCCATTTTTGACACCAATCTAGCGTCATGGTCCATTTTGGTCCTTGTCCAGATCAAAATGTATATGTTTTGCAAAACATTATAGTACTTACACTTGCAACAACTAAATTAAACATAAGCAGTTCAAAGATACAGAAGAACAAAACTGTCAGGACCATGTTACTGGAGAAATTAGCAAGCCACTCATTGTCAACATGATTCCCAAATTTAAGGCCTTTCACGCATGAAATCTCCACGCCATAAGCCCTCACATCAAACTCTTCCCTACAGACAATAAGGCACAGAACCCACAAAACTACAAGCACAAGCTTTGATAGAGAGATCCCCGTGCAAGTGAAAAAAAAAATGCGGATGACATTATAAGCGGGATTATGATTCCGTCATTCCATTTACGGGCGAGGGAAGATGAATTCCCGGCCTTGAGGTCCATCCCCTGCGTTTCCTGTAGTCCTCTATAGCCTGTAACCTAACTCGCACTTTCGAGGCATCCTGTGTATTCTTCGAAGCCTGCGTTGCATAACATAGGGAAGGGGAAGAAAAATAATTATCAGAAGTTTGAAATAGATAACCTTGTCATGTTCACTTCAGCAAGAATTCAAAATACTACCTTGGGAATTGCAGCCAACTTTGGCGGAGCTTGGACTATATCTCCAAATTTGATCTCCTCACGTCCTGGGAAGTCTAGTTTATCTTCTGTCTTGGCTTTTTTGTGTTTGTTCTTTTTAGCTTCAAGGTATCTAAACAAAAAAAATACGGTCGTTCATCTGCTAAATATAGCATGCTTGTTGATCCAAGTTAAAAACGAATTAAGTTGTGCAAATCACTAATCTTGTTAATTAATTTACTTGGAGGCCTTTCGAAAAGGGAAAATGAGGTAATTGAAGTGCAATTTACCAAATTTTCTTCACAACAAAACAGCAGTGAAATGCCAATCTCTATTTTAAGTCACGAAAAGCTGAATCATTGACCTAAAGATTTAACAGAAACCTAATTCAAAATAATAAAAGACTATCTCATATAACAGAAACCTTAAATGCTTACTTTTTCTTGCGTTCCCGTCGTTTAGAACTTGTGCCTGATTTTTCCAAGGCCGCTTCAAAGCGGAGGTCCTCTACTTGCTTTCTCTTCCTCTTTTTCTTTTTCTTTTCACTCATGCTATTCTTTAGAGTATCATCACCATCATCCGTATGTTGAGGTGTCTTCAAATTCACATCTCTGATTCCAGCAGATTCCGAAATGATTTCATCCTTGGGACGGGACTTCTAAAGCATGCATATGAAACCAAATAAATCCATTTGTAAACTCCAACTAGAACAAACTTAATGAGATGGATCATATATAAAGTTAACAAAAAATGATCCTCCAAAACGGCTTACAAACTTGAAAAATAATATAAACCGCTTAACAAGCAGATAGTAACTTAAAAATGTTGATCTACAACCTAAGTCAACAATTTACATATGCATATGCCCACAACAAATTCAAAAGAGAAAATGAAAAGTTCATGACTCATCTAGCCAAACTGCAATCCAGAGTTACTACAAAAGTCCGAAACAATTTGTCAACAACATTTTAAGCAAAACCAAACTCCCTTATTGCTCCAACAAAGTAACAGAAGTAAAAGTGTCTCCCTCCAAATTCAATTCCATAAACGCAATGCTAGACTTTAAAAATAAAATAATAAAATAATAAAAAAAAGGAATTCTATGAATTTTCTAACAATCTGAGAGCATACCAGAACCAAAACAACGCCCAAATCTTCAAACTTCAAAAAATATCATTTCAAAAAAAAAATCTAACGATGAAATTAAATATGCAAAACAACGAATAAGGGCTTACCAACTCAGAAGCGCCATCTTCATTCTTCCTCTTCTTCTCAACATCCTTTGATTCCTTGGCAGACCCTGGAAAAATCCATATGAACCCATTTACAATTGAACGACACCAATAATTCAAAAATCATGTAGAAAATAGAGATTATGAAGCAATAATAAAGAAAAATGTATAATTTCTTTATCTTCAAAATCGAAAAAGAAAAAGGACCTTGGGATAGAGAAGAAGTGAAAGAGATTATCTGGCGGAGCTTAAACGGCAAAGCGTCGACTTGGGAAGAATCTGGCGGTGGTGGAAGACGACTGTAGCCTCCATGCGCAGCTCTGTAGTTTTTCTCCCTCCTTTTCCTTCCTCTTCCTCCCATCTCTCTCTCTCTCTAAACCCTACCGTTAAGCAAACTCTACTTTCTATTACCCGTTAAAAACAAAAAAAAAAAAAACAAAAAAAAAAAACAAGAAGAAGAAGAAGAAGACGACTTTGCTGGATCCTAAACTTCGTCGTTTTTTAAAAACGCTGTCTCTCTCTCTAAACCCTAACGTTAAACCAACAAAGGGTGCATTTCGTTGAAGTAATGGGAATAGGAATAATGATAGTAATGATGATGGAATAAAAAAAAGTTAATTTATTTATTTAATTATAATTTTTAAAATACGAAATATGAATATTTTTATATTGATAAAATTATTTTTATATTATATATAACATTAATATTTTATATATCAATATAATTAATATAATATCTAAAATATAATGTAATATAAT